GCCGCTCGCCCCCCCCCTTCCCTCTCCTTCCCTCCCGGAGTTCCTTTTTTTTTTTTTTTTTCTTTTTTTTCCGCCTTTCTTTCCTCCCCTTCTCCCCTTGCAGCGGGAGGAGGCGGGAGCCTCGGGCCCCCCTCCGGACACCCCCCCGGCGGCCCTCCCTCCATCCCGCCCCTCCGAGCGCACTGCCACGTCTCCAAGCGGGAAAGGGGTGGCCGGGGGGGCCTGGCCGCAGGAGAGGCTCTTCCCCTGGCAAATCGGAGCGGGAGGAAATGCGCTTCCTTCATAGCCTCTCGATCGCATCCCCCCCGCGTTTGATTTCCTTTTTTTTTCTTCTTCTTCTTCTTGTTGCAAAAGCGTTGAATGAGCGTGTCGAAACTCCTCTGTGCCCGTGTTTGTTTAAGGGACGGGTAGGGGGTGGGTTTCTAAGCTAAAGCTCCAAGGGGCAGCTGGCCGGGGCGTCTATTCCAAAACCTCATGCAAATGCTGCTAAGTCAAACGGCAAGTTCCAACTTGGGCGGGGGGGAAAAATGGGGTAGATTGCATCTGTGTTGGAGATTTTTCTCAGCAGCAGGAAGTTTTGGGGCTTTCGGGGTGCTGGGGCCAGGCAGGGCCACTGCTTGGCTGTGTTGCTTTGATAGCACGAGCTCTTCTCCGGGAGGGATCATGGATTTTGGTGGATGTGATGTTTGTGGAAATGCTTTTGCCTCTTTGCTGTGGCTGGAAGTGCTGAAACCCTCTGGGACAAAGCTTTGCAAGGTGGTGGGAAGCTTTGGAAGCATGAGGGTGGGATTTGCAACAGCTAGCTTTATTATTATTATTATTTCTTTGTTTTTTAATTAAATCCTCCTGAGTTGCTGAGAGCTGGAGATACCCTGTGCAGACCTCGGAGAAGGGGTTGGAAGTGCTGTCACATGAACCTTGGTGGCACTGGCTGCTCCAGATGCTTCCCAAAAATATTCCCACTTTCCTGCCATCCTCCATCAGCATCAGCCCAGTTCCTCCCCATGGTTCAGGGTTTGCACATGGCTTTGGGTGCAAAGTGGTCCTTTTTTTTATTATTATTATTTTCCCTCCTTCTGCTGATTGCCCTGGAGAGTAAAGCATGGACCTCTTTTCCTTGGCCCTCCACTTACTTGCAAAGCCTCTGCAGGGAGTTTTGGTGGCTCTGGCGTCGATGTCTTGTCGCCGCATCCTTGCCTGCATCCAACCAGCTCTGACCCGCTGCTCGGATGCCGCCTTCCCGGGTGTCCTTCTCCTTGGACCCGTTGCCGCCAAGCGCTGCCGTCCATCCCAGTGGCGCGAGTTTGGGCGGAAACGGCACGATCCGGCTCCACAATGGGCCGTTTCCTGCAGCCGAGGATTTCGCCGGGATGCTTTCCGGCAGGTCGCGCGGTGGGTGGATGGGATTTAACCTTTTCACCAAGGTTGGCTGCTTTTGGGCACGCAGCCCACGGGATTTTGTGCTTCCTGAGTGTTGGAAAACCAGCGCTCGCTTGTCCCGATCGCAGTCCAAAACCAGCAAGAAAAATCTCAATTTTTCTAATTTCTGCTTGAAAAGTCGTTCAAACAGCAGATGTAGAAACACAACCAAGTTGTCTGCGGTTGCTTTGCATATCTCTGTTTCCAAGCAGGTTTTCTGAAAAATGAAACCAAGCCCAGCCGGGCTGGGGTGCCCGTGCAGGTGGCCACTGCTCTCTAATACCTGCGCTCCAAGGGCTCCTGCTGCCTTATCAGATGGGCTGCCCTCTGCCCAGCTTGCCTTTTGGCCTTGCTCTTTTCCTGCCATTCCCATATTAAATGGGCCTGCTTCTGTCTAAATATATATATGGGTATGTGGTATGTGTTTGACTTTGAAAATCCACTCTGCTCCAAAAAAAAAAAAACGGGCCATAAACGGGTCCTCCGTGGTCTCTGCTTGCTGTGCTGGGACTTGGTCTTTCTGCTGCTCCCTGTGTTGCAAATCGGGACATCCGTGGCCAGAACCAGCCGCCGGGATGGGATGGACCATGCGGGTTGCAGGATGGGCTCTTCCATGCAGATGTTCAGTGCTTTTTTCCGTGCTTTTTTCCATGCCTGAGACTTTTTCCCCGTTTATAGCGGTCGCCCGGTGGTGAGTCACGCTCTCCCGAGCGCCGGGTTGTGACACCGCCGAGTGAAGGCGGCTGACGAATGAGCTGCTATTTCCAGGCTTCCTTCTAAATATACTTTCCCCTCCCTGATCCCCTCTAATATGCAGCTCGGCGGGCAGCGCGCTTTGCCAAAATTAAGAATTAAGACCTTGCCAGCGCTCACGAGCTGTATTGAAGCATGTCCCTGCTCGCCTCCCCTGTGCTGGGTGAGGAAACTGAGGCATGCAAGGGATTTAAAGGGTGAACAGTTTTAGGGAGAGAGGACAGGCGAAAATAAAATAGGAGGGGAATTCGGGTCTGTTTTGGCAAAAGGAGTAAGCAGGGGTGTGCGTGCAGTGATAACTACTGTGCTGAGAGATGTGTTTGTGCAACCAGAGGTTTTGTGACTCCCTGGGAGAGGGTTTGGGTTAAATCCTTGCTGTTTACCTTTGCAGGCCCTGGTCCAAAGTTTGGCCTCTGGTTTGCACATAGGGCTTGTGTCAATCCACGCAGAGAATCAACAAGTTTTTCTTTCAGTAAAGGCTCCGGCTGGCAGCAAAGAAAACCGCTGCACTAGAAAATGTTCTTCCGAAGCACGCTTATCTTTTTAATTATTCTTTTAGTTGTTTTGCAAGCCCTGGCAATTTTTTTTCCCAGCTTAAACAGACTGCCCAGCCTCCCCCATGAGCGATTTGGAGCCGCTTCCTCCCTTTGAAGCAGTTAGTTATAACCCAAACAGGGCTCTGGGGCTTGCATGCCTGCCAGTGAACTGGGGTCCTGCTTTCCATCATGTGGATTTTGGTGACCAGGGTGAAAATGGTGCAAATCCCACTGGCTGAGACTTTTGGGAGTCATTGGGGTTGCCGAAAGGGGATAGGACCTGGGAAGGATGCTCGGAAGTTGCTCCTTGGCATAGCAGGATTGAATTCCTGGGTGTGTTTTAGTGCACATCCTAGATGCGCCTGTTCAGAGGCTGTGTGTAAAAGCTGTTGCATGCCTGGGAGCTAAAATGGGGAGTTTTCAACTGGAATCACAAATCGTTTTAGGGCAGGGATAGATAAAATAATCATCTAAAAGGAGATGAGTTTTGCTGTTTGGTATTAAATAGCTGACTCCAGGCTAACTGTGGCTTGAGTTTTTCTATCAGCACGTTCTTGGGGAATAGAAGGGTTAATATATTGTGACCGTTTGGCCTTAAATATTTATATTAAAGCCTGTTCTATCCGGACCTTTGAGGTGATGTTCTGGTACATTTGCCCTGGTCGCTCCACCCGCTCCACAGCCCTGGAGGGGACTGAGCACCGTCCTGACGGCTGCAGAGGTTGCAAAAAGACTTTGCTCGAATGTGTTTTGGGGTCTCGTTTGGGCAATTTTGGGCAAACGCTGCCGCTCCAAGGAGCGCGGGCAGCAGCTGGTGCCGGAGGGCTTGGCCGGGCGCCCGCGGCGCTGCCGGGAGCAGCGGGAAGGCATCTGCGAGACGGAGCCTCCGCTCTGTTTGCTCGCCCGCGGAAAGCGCTTGCTGGAGTGGGCCGGGGCGCTCTGCCTTGGTGCCTTTTTATTTATTTAAATCTTTTTCTTTTGGTGTGAAGTGTTCCCAGGTGTTGGCTGCCCTTTTGCACCTGGAGAGCCTTTGGATTTATTGCAGCACCCAAGGGATGTTTTTTTTTTTTTTTTTCTTTTCTTCAAAGCACTGGGATTTTCAGAGCCCCAAAGTGTGTTCCGAGCACTATCTGGAGGTGTTTTCCCAGGAAGCAGTGCCCTACACTGGGTGAAGGCCTGGAGTTGCCCAGCTTTTAACTTTAGAACACCCTATAGCAGAGAGATGGAACGATCCCCTTGTGGGATGTGCCTGATGCCTCGGGAGACTCAGTCTCTCTGGAGATCTTGTTCCCTCTGCATGGCTATGGAGACCACTCAAGGTGACTGTTTCCCTAATCCAGCTTGTTCAGGCACGTCCCTATGTTAGGTGGGATGAGACTGGGCATCTCCCTCATCTCCTCCGGCAGTGGTGGATCACATGGATATGTTCTTTGGACAGAGCAGGAGCCAATGCAGAATATGCTGTCTTTTGCCATACAGTTGCTGCTGAGCTCACCAATGCAGGCAAATCCTCTCAGTATAACAAAAAGCATCTGGAGAAGCTCAATTTTGCCAGCAGGGCTATTTGCCCGTGGGATTTTCTCTACTAGATGGTGGCTTTAGGTCCTCTTGCCTGTCTTGCATGATTGAAGTGTGCCTCGCTCTTCCATTCCGAGATCTAATTGCAAAATGAGTGAACAGAAAGCCCCTTTCCACTACACATCCTGTTTTCTGTGCACTTAATAACCCTGAAGTTGCTTTTCCTCTTACAAACTTCTGTATATGAGATATAGCACTGGGGTAGGTGCTAAAGCTTTACCAGGACCAGTTGGTCCTTGTTGGCCCTTCCCCAGCCAAGGAAACCATGTTCCTGCCTTCCAGCAACCCCATCTCTAGTTCCCTGCTGCAAGTTGGGAAGTCAGACATCAATTTAAGCATCCGTTGTGTTCCAGTCTCTATACACTACACAGGATTGCATAGAGCCGTGTATACACTGTAGGTGCTTCTAGATAACATGGAGGGAACACGGTGAAGGTGCCTTAGGATTTTTGGAGCCTGATGCTCAATTCCTGGAGCTCTTCATGTGGCCCCAGATGCCAGTGGGTGCAGAGCGTTATGTGACTTAAGGCAGTGATGGAGGGATGTGTTGTGAGGCTGGCAGGAGGACACTGCTCCTTGGTGGACGCACAGGGCTCTGCGGCTTGCTGGATTTTGGCCGGTACTGGAGCTGATACAATAAGGTCAAATAAACACAACTTTGCTTCCTGCATGCGAGATGCTCCATCCGTCCGCCTGCAGCCTGTGGAAAGTGGGATGCAGCCCATAGCAGCCAGTGACATCCATTCCCGAACAGCTTCTGTTGCCTTCAGGGGTGCTGGGGTATCACTGATGTTCTATTCAAGTGCCCTGCTGGTGCAATCTGTCATCTCTCACCTTCTCCACACTGGTCTGACCTTTGGGTTGTCCTGGCATGGGCAGACGTGATCCTCCAGCTGACAGAAAGGCAAAGGCAAGGCTGTAGGTGGGACAAATCATCACTTGTTCCTCAAGGAATGTCTGCTGAGGAAGCCTTCCTCTAGCCTTCATGAAAGCCATGCCTGGTCCTGCAGCACAGACCTTTACCAGAAGGGGTTGAATCCTTCGTTCAGTGACAACTTTGACAGAAATCAATGGGAATTTGCATCCCATACTTATGGGAAGCTGAAAGGGTGGACCTCCCTTCCAAACTTCTCCAGGGGAAGAAGCAGCAAACAAGCCTGGAAAGAGGCAGAGAAGTGCCAGCGATGCAGACGTGGTGCATTTGCAGTGAAAACCTTGTTGTTTGGATAAGATCTGCTGGTGAGAAGCTGGCTGTGCTGAATACCAGCTGGACACAGCTGGTGTAGATGGGCAAAGCATCGAGAGGAGCTGGTGCATCTCGTGTGGCTGAGGGAGATGTCACCTCAGTCCTTGGACTGGAAGAGCTTTGGAGCTTTACTTGGTGCTCAGATGGATGCAAAGCCTTCAGTGCCTGCTGCCACAGCATTTACGGAACACAATATCCCATCCCTGCGGCAACCCGGGTGCCATGATATTTTTGCATTTATTTCATGCCCTGCACCAACTTGTGATGGAATTTGGAAGCAAATCCAAAGATCCAGTTGCTGCTCCAGGACTTTGCTTCTGTAGCCACTTAGGTTTGCAAGAGCCAGAACTATCTCCTAAAGCCACGCAGCGTGATTTTTTTTTCCAACACCATCCCAAACCCTGCCCATGGTGTCGGTCTCCCTGGGCACAGTACCTGTTGCTGCTCTATGTTCGCAGCACAACACGTAGTATTTTCTTTTAAGGGCTCTCAATGGCTCAGGGCTTCTTTGGAGCTGCAGCCTCCACAGCTTGGCGTTCATTGGCGTGACATGCCGGCTGTCAGGAAGGGGAGGAGTGGGATATTGTCGCTGTGCGGTGTCATGTTCCTTGGAAACACCAGCACTTCCTATTTTTGTGCCTCGGATTTCAAAACAACCCGTCACGCCGCTCGTATACCGAAAGCAAGGGGGTTCCTGGTGCTGCTGGCTCCAGTGCAACGTGCTCCTCTTCTGCAAACAGAGGGTTCCTCCAGGCGCCCGTGGGGCGAGGACACCCGCCCCATGGAGAGGGGAACCAAGATAAACACGGTTTGGGGAAGTCGCTTCATCAGTGATGGAGTGTGGCTAATGAAACCAGGAGTCCCAGCGCCAGGGCAGCGCTTTTAGCAACTGACTACTGCTTTTTTTTTTTCTTTTGGGACATAAATAATATAATGCAAAGTGGTGTTTATTATTTGAGGCTTCTGCAAAGAACTGCATTCCTGTTACTGTGCTGCAGCAGTATTTTGTGTGTTAGGAGAGAGCATATATTGAGCCTCGCAAAAGTGCAAGTGGCTCTTGCTTCCCAGGGCACCATCGTGGCCGCCACCTCCGCTCACCTCCTTGTTCTCCTCCGGGCAAGCGTTGCTTGTGGTCATCTCTTCGCTTTGCAAATAGCCTCTGAGTGTGGGGACAGGCCACCAAACACAGCCCCAGCGTTGGCAGGTCGCCCTCCTCCTGTAGGAAACCGCTTCCTCACCATGAACCTGGTGATGGGTTTAATCCACCAGCAGGAGGTCTGTGCATCTCCACTCCGTCCACCACTGTGGACCAAACCAGGTGGCCAGCGGTGACTTTTCCTGCTGCGTCTGTCAAGCCAGATTGCCTCCAGGGGGAAGAATTCCCTTGCAAAGCCAACTAGCTGGAAGGTTGGCAAATGAGCTGAGGTGCCCTGTGACTTGTTTGAGCTCACCTGGGTATCTGTGTGTGCACGTGGCACTGGTGACCACACTGCATGTCCTTCGGTGGGCAGTGTTTGCCTTCCTGGGAAGGATGGGCTTTCACAGGGTGAAACTTGTACTCCAGAAGAGCAGCTGCTCGTTGTGTTGGGTCAGGGTGAGGAGCTCCATCTTGCAATGAGCTTTGTGGTGGGATTGGCCCTGGCTCTTGGGAGAGCTCAGGGTGAGGATGGCCTTGAAAAGGCTTCTTCGCAGATGCAGTTTTGGTGACCAAGGCGGCCTCCCATCCTCCTGCATCGGCACTGGGGGCGGATTCATTCCAGGGCTGGACCTTCTTAATCTTAATTAAAGGCAATAAACTAAGAATGAGAAGCACATCCTGGCTCTGTAGGAGGCCTGATGTCTCATCCCTGATCTTTTTGTCAGCTTGTGATGCTGACACACAGCTGGTATCTGGTGCATGGGCAGAGATGGGTCCTCCAAACTGTCTTGCCCTCATCCTCAGAGCTGGGAGCTGCTGTCCAGGTTCCTGCTTCCCTATCCACACAAGTTGCTGCTTCCTCCCTTCTGTTGTCATTGCCAGTAATCAGCCAAAGGGTAAATGCTTTTCCCACAGCCACTTTTCCTCTCATAGAATCATAGAATGCTTAGGGTTGGAAGGGACCTCTAGAGGTCATCTAGTCCAACCCCCTGCACACGCAGGGTCACCTAGAGCACGTGGCACAGGACTGCGTCCAAGCGGGTTTGGAAGATCTCCAGAGAAGGAGACTCCACAACCTCTCTGGGCAGCCTGTTCCAGTGCTCTGGCAC